TTGTGTTGGGTGGGGCCGGGGAATTGCTGTTTTGCTCTGCTGGAGTACCGGCCATGGCTTGGCCGGGAAAAAGCCGTTGTTGCTGGGTTCACAATGTGCATGGGTGGTTGCTGCTTGTCCGAGATCATGTCAAGGCGGGGCAGAGGGGATTGTTGTTCTACTCGGCTAGAGTACCGGCCATGGCCTGGTTGGGAAAAAGCCACTGTTGCTAGGGCTCCCAGTGTCCATGGGTAGGTTCCGCTTGTCCAAGATGGTGTCAGGGCGGGGCGGGGGGGGATTGTTGTTTTGCTCGGCTGGAGTACCGGCCGTGGCCTGACTGGGAAAAAGCCATTGTTGCCGGGTTTACAGTAAGCATGGGTGGCTGCTACTTGTTCGAAATCATGTCAGGGCGGGGTGGGTGGGTGGGTGGGAATGCTGTTCTGCTCATCTGGAGTACCAGCCAAGTTATGGCTGGGAAAAAGCCATTGTTTCTAGCCTGGCTACAGAGGGTCATTGATGGGATGGTACATGCAGCATCAAGGGTGGGAAGACTGCCACGCAGGGAAAAAGAAGCATAAAAGCAACATAGGAGCATGCACCAGGATATCAAGGCATCAAACTGGGCATAAAAAGCTAGCGTCCAAGACATCATCGAGGACCACATTAAAGTCCAAGGCATCACATAACATACCATGACAGATTTTGTTATAGTTGTTGCGAGTGAATGTGTCCATTTGGCAAAGGATTACTGGCCATTCATTATTGAAGTGGGCGATCATCTTAAGACTATGGGTGTTGGCAGGTGCTCATGTGTGCTCTAATGTGTGGCAGGTTGCACCTCCAGTCTAGCAAGGAGTACCGGCCATGGGTTGGCTAGGAAAAAGCAGCAGGGGATTGCCGTGGGGCCTGGGGTCTGTTAATAACAGTAGTCTAGCGTTTGCAAGGAGTACCGGCCATGGGTTCGCCGGGAAAAAGAAAGGATCGCTTGTTAATAATAGTAGTCTAGCGTTTGCAAGGGATGGCGGGAAATAACAACGGGTTGCGTTCCTTATTTGGCAAGGAGTACCGGGTGAGGCAGCATTTGTGAACATTTATTTATCCATGCATATTTATTTATGATGGCATGGACTGCAAATACGTAGACATGCATTGTTTAAATATGTTGAAATATTGGAACTCGTTATGTTAGTATTGTGGCCTGAAACTGGAGGCAAAGGTTATTGGACACAGAGAAAAAATCTGCTTGGCAAAAGTTGCCTCCAACAGCAACTGCCATTGACCAATGGAACACTACCAGAATCTCAAAGTCCCTGATGGATGGCAACGGAATGCCAAGAAAGGCAGCAAAAAAAGCGCTTTTACAAAAACTGCTGGTTGCAAATACCCCCTTGATCGACAGCTCTAGAGCCAAAAAATTGAAAGCTAATGTGGCATGAACGGCTACGGAAAGCCGGCCCCAGCAAAGTGACAGAAAATTGACGGACGGATTGTTTGAGTTCAAAAAAGTTATAGAAATAAAATAACAAGAAAAAAGCTGGACGGCCATGTCTAGATTGGATTGTTGGGAGTATGCTTCATCACAGAGTGATAGGGACTAGACATGCATATGCTTGCTCAACAAATGAGATAGTTTAGGAACACCTGCTTGTACTGGTTGTAATGTACTATTATCACAGAAGTGAATGTGTATGGGCGGGAAGCCGCAGTTAGCTAGATGTAACTAGCCATTATGGGGGCACTGCCACTGTAAATGGCAAGGATGGGTCGAATTTAATGTATGCTGTGGCGGGCAACTGCCATTGTCTAGCCAGGGTCACATTTTCAAATCATTCAACACAAATGGCCCAAATGGTCTTAATGATGCACAAGCAAATGCGGTCAGGAACGGCATTGGGTGGGAACGAATTGCCAAATCCTAGTAAGATAATATTCAATTAACAGCTCATTCACCAACGCTGAACAAAGAGGCACTGACTAGTCCGATCAACACAACACTATTGATAGAAAATGTGGTACAAAGCTCAGTATTTTATAGTATTTAGTTGTCCATTTCTTCCCCAAAACGGCGTCCAATAGAAACTCACCCCAGACCAATTATGAATCGTTGTCACAACAATGTTCGCCAATGCAAAACCCATGCTGAAGTCTTGGTAACGCTTTTTTGATCTGACTAGTTCATAGGGCATCACCTTCAGACACTCAAGACAACTATTAACCCTGTGGCGATGGTTCACAAGGTCAAAGCATGGGTCCATCCCCATTCAAACAAGGATCATTGTCAAAACTTCCCCAGTCAGCGCGGCAATCCCTGCTCATCATACATTCATCGACTCCATGCCATAGAAATTAATATTTTTGGCAAAGCGGCCCTGGATGCTCTACCAACAGAGCAATGCACGTGCAACCACAGGTTGGATCGGCCCCTTTACTGAATCGAAAGCAATATCACCAACAACATTCGCCACACAATTTGCTATTGTCTTTACCAAAGCTGAAGCATCGTTTGGAAATTCCAAAATATTGCAGGAAAACATTCATTTACTTTACTAAGTCACGTAGTTTAATTTACCAAGTCACTTGACTAAGTCACATAATTTCACTCCGTCAATGCAAGCAAATCTCGCCATCACATCCACCCCCCGTTTCTCGATATACGTTGGACCAATATTTCACCCTGTTTCTTTAGCTCATTTGCCTAATTATGATTCGTTTCTACCGTTTTCGGCGCTTCGAGTCTTCCCTGGGTGCTTAAGCTAGAGAATTCCGGTCGGCTTTGCAACTATTGAAGAGCTCCTCCTCCAATGTCCCTTTCCTATTTTAACAATAAAAACTACATACAATTCGCCTAGTAGTTAACACCAGTGTCCGCAACTTTTCAAGGCCTTCCCTATTCGCAATAAAGCTTTATTGACATCCCCAGGGAGATGTATACTTTTCAAGGGTGGCAGTTCGTGGCCGCTGGACTTTCGCTTTTCTCCGTTTGTGTATTTCCATTGGACGGGGCATCCTGTAATGCAAAAACATCGTGCATTTCAGTCAACAATATGTGAGCCCTGGCTTGACTGAACACCGTAAGGCAGGCTGACATTTCTTGTGGCTTGGAGCAAAGGTCACATCAGCCTGTTCCATGGAGCGGGCACATATGAGGCATGTGTCCATACACGAGCTGTGAAAATGCGTTGAGTGACGTGATAGCAGTGCATCCAAGATTTTGGGCATGTTGAAGAATGGGCCAATGTTCATAATGGAATGGTTAAAATGACGCATACAGTTGTGCTTATGCCGCTTCGTACACGTCTTTCAACCGCATCCATGTCAACACACACAATGGGGCAAATGTCTAGGGCAAGGGGCAAGTGTGGCTAATGGAGCATCCGGGACCATTTTGTAAACACTTCTGCATGAGCGACACGTTTTCGCTTTGTTGCATCGAGTCCCCCATATGCTCACTCTCGCGCTTGCCGGTAGCCCTCAGAATTCAGACTTTTCCCGTTGTTGCGAAATTCACGAGCTTCGAAACAACTCTAATCAATGTCAACCTCAGCCACACAGGGAGACTCGCTGCAAACTGGTGGCGAACGGATACAGTGAAGGCGTGAGGGACAAGACTACGGTTTTTGGAAGCCAAATCGCCTGAAACTTGCAAGGGCGCCGCCCTGTCCTTCGAAGGCAAGTTTTCTAATCCAAGGATTCAGCTGCTCACCAGCTCTCCTACGTCTTCCGCCTTGAGCTGCTCGTCGATGCACACCTCGCAGACCTCACTAATCGTTGGCTGAGTTGCCAGGGCAAGCACTTCAAGTCACTTGCGGGGCAAGAAAATTGCATTCGAGACTGATTCAATGTGCAAGTTGCGCGCTTGAATATTTCAAATTTAATTAGCCGAGCGGCCATTGTGAACTTATGCGAGCAGCGAAGACTCTCAAAAAAGCTTTGAGAGTTAGAAAAAAAAGTTCATGCAGTATCTGGAACTCCCACCCTTCGCGATGGCACTCCCGATCCAATTGCGCAGCAACGGCGCGACACCATAGATGCTGTGTCTTGCGCTGACATTACCAGTGCTTTATTGCAGCATCTGGGTTAAAAAAACTAAGCGCTGACTGCACGACACGGAACAAAGCTATTGTGCAATACCAGGCTGGCAGCGGTTCTTTTAACAGGAAATTGACACCATAGATCGCATTAACTTGCCGTTCTGATGGAAAACGAGTTAACAAACCGTGGCCGTGCTCACACGCGTTGGGTCGCAAATCACGCGATTATCGACACGCTTTTTCCAAGTTCTTTAACGGGGTTCCTCAAAAGAGGCTTGCACATTCAGCAACATTTCCACGCAAAGGAAGCTTCCACGTTCAATAGCATTTTCGATTTCCCCATTGCTGTGTGTTCCAACAATGGTAACACTGGTTCTGTTGTACAAGTTTCTATCTTTGCTGCCAATGCGCAGTTCGCAGCATTGGGCCACTGCAGGACAACGCGTACAGCAGAGAAGAGGTCGAGCCACCGTCCCTTCGCCACACAGAGTACCCCACCCCATCCCCCACCCAACCCCCCGCGGGGGCGAGCCCTTGAGACCTTTGACCGCCATGGCGACGTCCAACGCCGACGACGACCCCCCTCGGCCTACCAGCCGCGCAATTCGGCGACGTCGCCCACCCCGCCCCCCACCCCCGCCGTTGGGAAAATCTGGCGGCATCCCTGAGATTGGGACTCTAGAAGTGCAGAATTATGTGGCATGGACAGTTTTCCTTAATCAGAGTGATCTGTCGCGATAGATTTCTACCGCCAAGCTCTCGGTCATTGGAAATGAGAACCATGCACAAGTCGCTGGACCGGGCAACCATCCGCTTGAGATTCCGTTGCGACATGTCGCAAATAAGGGCACAACATTGTGAATGTGTCGCACATGTGACGCCGTACAAAACAATCAATTGATTGTGGCGCAACATGCATGACATAGCCCACTTACATACAGAGGTTGCATGAAAATCTAACTTCCATTATACCATCAAATGCACATTTCGTCAGTAGCACCACCCACTCACCGGCAGCTGCTCCTCTCCTTGCCCCTCCTCAAACTCCTCCTCGAGGAATTCCAGCCGCACGCAGACCTCTGCCATGGGCGGCCTGAGGTCGGGCACCACAGAGCAACACCTTTCCGTCAGGTCCTTTAAGCCGGGCGGGCAGTCCCCGGGCAGGCGGCACGGCGCCTGCTGCGCCCTGCGCCGCCGGTAGACGTCTCCCGGCGTGGCGCCCGGGCCGTAGGGCTCGCGCTGGCTGGCGACCTCGTACATGACGAGGCCAAAGGCGAACACGTCGGAGGCGTAGCTGTGCGGTCGTTTCTCGAAGAACACCTGGCAGACACAGCCAGTGGCAGTCAGCGCAGCACTTTGGGGACAATGCGGCGCGCCTTCTTTTGTTCTATATCGCGATTCAGTAATAAGCCGTCACCAAGGACATCGTAAACGTCGCATCAAAGAATGGTAAGTTCACATTTACGATTTTACTGCATTGTGGCTGAGATGTTTGCTGCGCATGCAGCAATTTTGCATTCTGGGCACCGCTCCGTTTCGGGCAATTTGCCCATCGGTGCAGCACGCCACAAGCGCAAGTAGGTGTGGATGGATGGTCAGGAAATCTTTGTGCCTCAATAATGGCAACAGAAATGGTTTTCAGAGGGATGGACATTGAAAAACTGTTGACCAAAAAATGGAGACTGCTAAAATCCTGAAATCCTCGTATTGAATATTTTTCATTTATGCTTTTGAGTCAGCCAGTTACAACTTCCCAACATTCTTATGGCTCACAGCTTCACAAGGGTTCATTACGAAACAAATGCAGAGCTTCTGCAACTTTGGGAAAATCGAATGAAAAGTTCCATCGAAGCGGCGACGATGTAGTTCTGAGCTCTAAGAATATATCAATGGCCTAACCGCATTCAGTACATGACTAGCCACACGCTGCCGCGCACAGCGCACACCCGCTTGACACATACCATCCAATCCACCATTTAGCGCTTGTTGTACTGGTGCTCGGGGCTATCAAGAAAAAAACGAGGAACAAAGCCGCAGCAAGCACTCGATTTTCCAGTGCTCAAATACCTCCGGGGCGTCCAGAAGGTGAGTGGCCGCGTGCTGCCGCACGGAAATTGTCCTCACGTCCGTCCGGCTGATGGCCGAGCTGAAGTCCGCGATCTTGACCTCGTCGCCGTCGTACACGAAGAAGGCGAAGGCGTTGACGCCCCGGTGGATGACGCCCCTGCCGTGCACGTACTTAAGGCCCTGTGCGGCGCGGCGCAGGACGCCCAGCTTGGCGGCCCAGCCGCGGGGAGCCTCCTGGCACCAGCGGCGCAGATGGCGCTCGCTGCGCTCCATGATCAGCAGGCCCGAGGGGCTGACGCCGTAGAACTCCGCCACGCAGGGGAAGCGCATCCTGGAGGTGCCGAGGCACAAATGCAGAATTGGCGTGTGGGTGGATACTGTGGCATCGATGGGTGGATCGGGTATTCAGTGATTGGGTGAGTTCAATGCACATCCGTTCGAGCAGCCACGAGGCTCACTGAAACGCACCATCGGCGGTGTGTTTCGGTGAGGTCCGTGGTCACTCGAACGGATGCATTTTCGAGCCAAGGTCAAATGAGAGGAGCGAAGAAAGGCGCAAAGTTTTGACGACGTAATAACGCCGGGCGCTTAGGAGATGTGCAAGCTGAGCAAAGCATTCTAGTGAGTGAGACAATCCGATCCGAGGATGGAAAAGTGGCTGATTTGAAACAAATGAGATTACGTAATTGAAGTTGCTCAAACAATTGTATCTTGGGTTTGTGGCTCCACCAAAGTATTTGACACAGAGGATTTGAGGTTTTGGCGATACGCAGTAAATCGCTTTTCGGCACTTGACAAGACCTTGTTTCGAGTAAGCAACAATAATAACAGCAATCCAAAAGCATCAAAGAAGGCTTGAACTCCCTAATTCTGCTTTGGTTCAATTTTCTATTCTGAAACCAAGACCAATCCATATACACCAATGGAAGGGTGCAATCTGCCTGCACAAGCCTATCCAAACTTCCAATGCATAAGTTTGAAATATGCCACGCTTCCTGCATCAGAATTTACCGTAAAACAACAAATCCTGGATGTAAATCGCCTGCAAAGTCCCTGGCCCAGAGATGGACTTGCCGTGTGCCATTGAGAGATCGCCATGGAAGAACTCCGCCCACCTGGACATGATAGCCACCTCCGTGAAGAACTTGGCGAAGTCCTCCAGGTCCAGATCCTCGCCCTCCGCCAGAACGCGCTTCACCGTCACCCTCGTGCCGTTCCACGTCGCGTGGTACACGCTCTCCGACCCCGTGTCCACGCCCGACAGCTTCAAGTCAGCCTCCCTCACGACCTGCAATTTGCAAGCAGGATACGAACGGGATATGTGCCATCCGTGCAGATCGCTTTTTGGACAACACGCGTGCAGCGTTATGGCTGACATTGTCTCGCAGCCTCCAAACAGGCTTAAAATGGTACGTGCAACTTGCATCGCGCAAGTTCAGTGTTTCAGATCTTTCCAGCAATGTGACCTAGCGATTCAAACTGTAAGTCAGAGTGTGAATTTTCCACCACCTGCAGCCCCGCCACGCGCGCCTCGTGCTGCCGCCTGACGACTTCCCACTCCCCCGTCGGCCCGCCCTCCATCTCCCCGCCGTTTAGCACGAAGTCCAGCCGCCTGTGCAGGTCCCGCCGATCGGCAGCCACCAGGTCGTCCGGTATGCGCTCCTGGACGGCCGAAGGAGAGCCCAGAGCGGCGCAAAAGGCAGCAAGGTTGCCGCAGATCATCTCCACGCCTCGCCGAGCCTCGGAGACGCGGTAAAAGGTCTGAAGGTCGAAGGGGGTGCAGTGGCGCTCCATGAGGACTTCTGCCAGCTTGAGGGTCTGGTCCACGGCCTCGAGGGACCGCTGCCAGTCGTCGGCGGACATCTCGGCCGGTTGGGACGAAGTTGACGATTTGAGCTGCTTGACGGGGGCAATTTGCGTGCGGAGGAACTCGAGGATGTTCTTGTTGTATCTGAACTCTCCCTGCAATGGATGTCACAGAAGCGGACTCAGTTCGTTGAGAGCTCAGTTTGCACATTGTTTTTCTGAGACTCAGCTTGCGCCTTGTTTTCCAGAAACACCATCGTGCACCTTACACAGCCTACCGCATTCTTACCATGCAGAGCTCGTGAAAGAGAGCCTTGGGAATATGTAACGTTGCAGCGATGCCAGTTTTCAGGGTGTTGCAATTGGTGAACGAATTTCCAATGAACTGCCTGTGTTACAACGGCCAGCCAAAATGCGGCGGCAATTTGAAATGCAACGTCGTCTGCGTACGGATCAGGATTGGACGCCAAAACTCGCGCATCAGCGGCATCGTGCAGCTGTGTTGACGCAAGACCAGTACACAAGTGTGTGTGCCTTATAGTGTGGTAGAACATGAAGGACGTAATTTACGTGATAGGATTGGCTGTGCCTATTATCCCGACGCAGTCGTCGAAACTCAGCAGCACGACGCCCCCACCGGTATCAAAATATTGTATTTGAATTTTCAAACATGAACGTCGATTTGACGTCGCATGTGGAGATCCAACAGAAGTTGAAGCAAAGTTGGCGTAGCATTGCCAGCGATGCACATAAACAACCCAAACATACCTCCAGGCAAGATACGAATCAGGCGACATCATTCTTGTCAACACTCCTGTACATTGAGCAATATGCTGCGCAAATCTTCGGATTACTGATGCACAATACTAGGAAAACACGCCTCAGCTTGACTATCACTTTTTTTATGCGCATGGGTCATGCCTGAGGCTCCCCCTGTCCTTGTTTCCAGCCTCTATCGAGGACACATCGAATTTGTTCCACGTTGTTGGAGAGCTCGGCAACTGTGACGCCCGTGGCCAAGACCTGGGCCAACGTCAGCCCTGCGGCAAGGAATCGACACAGAAGTAGTGCGCGACGCCGACTCAGTTCACGTGAAACACTCGCGGAAATGACAACCAAAAAGGCTTTTCATGTGGCACGATTTGTGCACTTGTTAAACGCGCCTCAACCTCTGACGCTGATTTTCAGCGATTATCAGAAGCAGTCGCTGTTGAAAAGATACGGGAGGGCAAGTTCTTTCAGTGAAAGAGACACAGCGCGTCGAGCGAATGTTTTGCATCTTGTGTGGTTGTGATGTTGCTGCCTTTGTTCTTGTTTGTCAGACTGCGGACAGCACCACTATTGAATGGTGTTTTGTCTTCCTGCCGTGCCAATACATCTCCAAAGAAGCCCGCAAACTGAAAATTTGGCTACTGGTTTGTGGATAGGTTTTGCCCATTCCTCAATGGGCCCGTTCCGTCCAACTGAGCGACGAGCCGAAAAGACTATGTGGGTGCTTGAACGGTGGCGCAATTTATCCTTCACCTGACTTGTTTCACGTGCGACTAGTTGCGTTTTATGGGAGCATGAGCTTGCCATATTTCATGACGAAACAAAATCTGACATTTCGGGCCCGGGCTCACTGATTTTGGCGGAGGATTCATGCATTTCAGGGTTCAGGAGCGAATAAACACGTAGAGACGGATAGTCAGTGTATGAGCGAGACGAAGACTGGGACAAACAATGGACACCGTTCTTGTGCAGTTGGGTGGCGACATAGCCCTCCGTGGCTGGTGCGCAATGAATGGAATTTCGCCATCATCATCATCATCATCAGGGCGAACGAACGGATGAATGCAGGCGTCCATTATAGCAACCCTGCAGCGGGCGAAGGGCACAGATCTGAAGGGCGGGGCCTCTTCACCTGCGACCACCGTGTCCAGGAAGCCCTGCACTTCTTTCAGCCGCGCGTGCACCTTCCTGGCGCCGATCCACTTCTCCGCCACCCTCTTGGCCCGCGTCAGAGGCGACTGCGAAGGGTTCTCCTCCATGTCCTTGATCTTCGCGATGAGGTCCCTCGCCGACGCCAGCTTGCCCCCCATCTTCAGCCACGTCAGCCTGTCGCCGCCCAACCCCTGAAAGCCCGGGTGCACCCGGATCTTGTCGACGGCCTCGCCGATGAACACCATGCGATCGCACAGGTAGCCGTACCCCTTTTCGATGGCCACCAGCGCCTCCAGTGTGTTCTTCAGCGCCTTGAAAGGGGTCAGGATGGCATTGATACCGTCCAGGATGTCCATGGCCAATCCCTGAGCGCCCAGAACGTAACTGCTCGACATTCGGTACCAGATCAATTGTCCTTGACTGCCGTTTTGACCACTGTGCTGGCTTAGTTTGACGTCCGCACGAACGTGCACTGGGCAACCCTGCCTGTGGGCAAAGACGTTCCTTGCCCACAGGAAGTGTTGCCTCGCACATTGAATACACAGTACTGGGAAGGTGGGATGGGGATGCGACAAACATGCACTGAGCACACTCAGTCAGGCTTTGGAGTAACAGAAGCTGTTTAGGGCAAAAGTGGGTTGGCAATCGAGTTTGTCCACATTTGTGAAACTGAAAGTGGTGGGAAATGGCCTGCACTAAGTGCGTCAACATGGGCATATAGTTGGGGGGGGTGAGATGGATTGGTGAATGACCCCAGAGCCAAACCAGCCAGCTGGTTTGGGAGGTTCTGAGACTGGGAGGTTCACTATCCCTCACTTGAGGGACAAACCACGTCAACAAGTTGAAAGTAGTGAACTTGACGAGCACCTTGACCAATGAACGTGGAACTGCTTTAACTTTGGGAGACCAGCCATTTCAGCAAGTGCAAAGGAGGGCACGCAACAAGATGTCTATCCTGAGAAACCTGGCAAAAGTATGGCCGTTGCAACAGCATGTCCAGCACTTGGTGTGGCTTGGGTGGAATTCCTACAAAATAAGGGCTGTGGCTGCTGTTCGCAAGCGTTCCCATGAAGGTCTCTTGTGCTGCTACTGGCTCTGTACAAACCTGTCCTCTCAGCCCCTATCACCATCCCTTCCAGTGAAGCCCTCTGTGTTCCCATTCTCCCCGTTTGTGCAATGGACAACGATGTGCCAGTGAGGCTAATCTGAAGTTGTGGATATGCTCACAGATGTACTAGTGTGGGAGCCATGGCATTTTCGGGCATTGATATCCCAGCGTATCTTATCAAACACACCAGAGAAAACCTCAGCACGCCCTGCATCTCATTCTGTTCTTTCTTGTCACAGGTCTCCCTGCAATGGCGCCTGCAGATGGAACAGTGGGGCTCACACCTCGTTCACTTGTCATCGATAACCTGAACAGACCCCCTCCCCTTCCACACAACAGCTTGCCAACCACCCACACCGTTGCTCGTTTATCAGAAGCGTTTATCTGGCAGTCAACGTGCCAGAGACAGTGGCACCAGCATATGATACCCGCCGTTGCATGACCAGCACAAAGCTTGGTACATTTGGACAAGCTTTGGGCTTCGTTCGAGCAGGGAGCCGTCTGCACCAGCGACCATGGGCATAAACGTGTCTTGACATCCAGATGCACAAGGTCTGTGTCGAGGATGGTCATCATTCCATCAGCAGCTGTAGTTTTTGTTGGCTTTTGGCACTTGCACTTTCACAATCCGGCAATACAGGAGCCGGCGAGTTCTCCAGCAACAGCCATGCCTAATGGATCGAGAGTCTGTGGTCGGGAGAACATCCAGCTCTGGCCGGTTCTTGGGGATCTCTTTCCCAAACGGCGATTGGCGTCGGCCTTCGAGGGAAACGTCAACTCCAACCGGCGTTTCGCCCAGCGCAGGCTGACCTGTCTGCTGGCCACGCGAGGCCCACCCAAGGCCGCCACAAGGACACGACCGTACTCACGTATACGAAACGACCGGGCCGTAGTCCGTGGGCCGCTGCTATGGGACAGCACACGGCGGGCAGCTAGTGGGAAGCCGCTGAGGCACCCGGCGCCAGAGACTCTGACGACCCATCGGTGGAACGACGCCAGCCAGCGGCGACCCCCACTCACGACTGGGGATGCCGCCATGAGAAGCCCCAAGGGGGCGAGCGGGACACGCGAGTTGGGCATCTACGGACTATGCGTTGTGGCGGGCGGGCAGAAGGCAACAAATCGTTGCGCTGCCCGACGACTATTGCACGTCAAAAAGCGTGCCGCGCGAGAACAGCTTGGCGGGCATGGAAGATCGCGCCCACTTTTCGCGCGACCGTGAGCGCGCCGCGGGGCTGGCTGTACCGAACGGACTTTCGGGTACGTGTGCGCTCACCTGGCTGGGTCTGTCTCGGAGGTTGGGGCGTGCGGCCAAAACACCGCCAGTTCAAGGCGGCGGTTTGACGACTGGTGCGGTCAAGGGGGCGTCATCACTCGGTTGAGCGCTGCAAGGGCGGCGCCTCGCGCTTGGATTCGCTGCCTCGCCCGGTCTCCGCCCTGGGGGAGCGCTGTGCGTCGCCCGGCATCCAGGGAACACGCGTTCAAGAGATCTTCGAGGGCGCGTTGATGCAGTGATCATACATTCAAGCCTCACATAAAGCTGTGGGTTCAAGAAAATTTCACCGGGCTTGGCGATGCGCTGATTATGCATTCAAGCCTCATTTAAGGTATCATACAAGCTCTACAGGTACCTGCAGGCAGAGTTGACTGCTGTTTCTTCGGCCGGTGCAAAAGCACCGCCTTTCCTGACAAATTTGCAACAGATTTCGGGGAAATGGCTGGCCCATCATGCGAAAGTAAAAGTTGGGTGCTGTTACGGCGCATAAACACTGCAAGCATTATGTGGCTTTGTTGGCGTCTAAATGCAAGTGGGCGCTATCCCATGGCGCAGCGAAATTCGTCTGCTCCACCCCTGCCCCAGCACCTACAACATCATGTTGCCTACAATGGGAAACAAGACATGAGGGCTACCGTGTGGTGCACGGAGTGTGCCGCATTCATTGAGTTTGAAGGGCGGAGCTTGGCGGAAATGAGCTGAGGGCATGTGGAAAAACTCAAAGAGAGCTCGTGTACGAGCGATGTCCCTGCTGAGCGCTAGCGGAGAGAGCGCAGCAGACAACAGCCGCCCCATTTGAATTCACGACGTGCCTTCGCCAGTACGCATGTATCTTGTCAGCCTGACCTCCTTTTCTATCCATCAGTGCAACGAACTTGCGCATTCATGTTCCCAGCGGACGATTGGAATTGGCCCCTGATGGGCATCATCCTCTCCCGAAGCATGTGTCGCACCGACACTGTCGGGACACCTGCCCTGTGGCTGCCTGTGGACCAGTCCACATCAGCTCCGGCCCGCCTGCTCTGATCACTGATGCAGCCTCCCATCCCAGGGTGCCCTCCCCTATGGGCCTCCCCCCCCCCCCCGTTGGACATCGAACGTGGAGTTGGCGGCTGGCTGGCTGGCTGCTGACGGGACACGAAGCGGCGCCCACTCCGCTTGTTCCTTGAGGCACCGCGCCGCTTCGCCGAGGCCCACCTTCTGAGCGGGCAGCGGCCGGCAGCGCCCCCGGGTGGGATAGACAAGGCCGTGCAGCGCCGGCCGAGTGCGCGTCCGTCCCGGGCGCCGCCGATCTCCGGGGTACGGCACTCGCCGCAATGTTTTAGATGCCACGTCAAATGCGTTGCCGCTGATAGCAGGGCAGGGCGGTCTGTTCCTGATGACCTGCCTCATGCTGACGTTGACGTGGATGGAGCGAGCCGCCGCCTCCTGGCGTTCCTTTCCCCCTTGTCTATTGGTCGACCGGATGTTTCTCGGTCCGCGCGAATGCAGTGCGTTCACAGCGCATGCGTTCGTCCCGCCTCCCGCCTGGTGTGCATGGGCCTGGGAAGTTGGAACGTTTCTCCGCCTACTCGGTTGCTTGCTCCCAGGCGAAAGCGTGGTGGATTGGGCCGCCGTGCGAGGAGCTGATCGTGAGCGCTGGGCGGGCGCCCTGCGTCGGGATTCGACGGGGAACACATTCTTCTGGAAGGAAGGAGGTGCCAGGTGGGCAGGTGGTCGCAGTCAACGGCTGTCCCTTGGGCCGAGGACGGGCCCCAAGGGGGATGCCTTGTTTTCATGGAGATAGGAAATGTGTTGTACCATACTCTGTGTCATGCTTCGGAATTCTTTTGGAGGCGCGCTCATGCAGGAGGCTGAACAAGCCCAAGGCGCTGGGCTAGCGGGCAGGTTCCCAGGTACCAAAGAATGTGCCTGTTTTTGGATGGCAGATCGGACCTGCGTTGTGTGCAGGTTCAATTGCTGTTGAAGATTGGGTGTGTCGCCTATTGGTGAGAACTGGACTGCGCCTGTGCCACAGGGCATGCTGTTGGAAAGCCATGTTTACTGAGAGTTCCAGAGCACTTCTGGCTTGCTGACTGTGTCTGGGTGTGAGCGCATTTGACAGTGGTGATTGGGGAAAAAATATCTTTCAGCTTTGGCCAGTTTGAAGAAACTATCCAGTGCAAGCCATGTCCAGCATATGGACTGGCCACATCTTGTCCAACTGATGTCTGGGATTGTGCCAGGAGTGTGACCCCCACACGCTTGACAGAGCACTTTCACGAATGCATCCAATTGCAAAACGCAACTGGCAGGTGGTGCCAATCTTGCTCCTGCAATGTTCACATGCTTGTTGTGTGCACTTGTGCAGGACATGGCAGAAATAGTGGAGATTGTGACGGCTTGCTTTGAGCTGGCAGTGAAAATAGAGGAGTGCATAAGAGCAGCCAGGGAGAGCTCTGAAGCCCAGGAGCGGCTGGCAACACGCATTCGCACCACCAAGACTGTGTTGAGGGAGATCGAGGAGCAGTATGGGGGAGCAACAACGAACGGCTTAAGGCAGGCACTGGAGTGTGTGCAGGAGCAGCTGGAGAGGGCAGCCGGCATCTTTGATAAAGAAAGGAATGAAGGCAGACTCAGGAGACTTTGGGAAGCCAGGGGCAGATGCGCTGAATTGAGCGAGCTGGACAAATGTCTTCAAGGGGCTGTTGGAGGTGAGGAATGTATTCCTTTAAGATTTTGGGAATTTCACTGGGAGTAGGATTCATACCTGACCTTGGATGAAATGCAGAGCTGCTGGGACACTGCTCATTCCCAGTGGCCAAAAGGTGGGATGAAGAGCAGTTTCACACACAAAGATCATATTGTCTCAAAAGCATGCCGTTGAGCCAAACACAGTCCAAATGTCAACAGCAAGACCTGCATTGTCTGATTGCTGGCAGTTTTGTTGCCTGGTTGTTGCAAAAAGAAATCACATCTGCCAATGTAAGCAGGGCAGGTTTGACCACCTTATGCCAGTGAGTTTGTTGGCATGCACAGCCGACCATTTGCAGGGTCTATCCATTTCGATTCCCAAGTTTTCGGTCAATAGGTACCAGGATGGGGAACACAGAACTCGCTCTGGTCATGCAGCAGCAATTGACTCACCTCAAAAGTGCAAGGCGTTTGGCCTGCCTCAGCACAAGAAGTGCACTGATGCTCCCTGAACGCTGCCAATTGTCCACAGTTCCTGTCAGTGTTCAAAGTATGGGCAACTGTGATAATCGTGTACTAAGGATAAAGAGTGATTCTATCAAAATATATTTTGGTATTGTATTAATGGTTCAAGCCACGTTGGTGTGGGCCAGGTTGTGCCATCTTCACTGTGTTTGAGGGCCTCGTTCACCAATGCGAACCTGGACATGACCAGTGCTTTGTTGCATTCCAGTCCTGCTGGTGGCTCAGACGGCACTGTTGGGTGCTGTCCTCATTCAGACGCACCAGAAAGTTGACGATGTCAAGAGGATGCTGGAAAAGCTGACCACAGATGAGAAAAATTGGGTCGAAGAGCCAAAGCAAATATCTGACACCTTTGCAGAGAAGCTGGCTGACTCTAGTAGCAATGAGGAGCAAATGCAGCACAGAAATGAGGTATATTGCCTCAGGAGAATTGGCTTTTGTGCTTGTTGAGAAGTGCAATAGGTGGTCTTATTCTCTGTTTGGGCTGCTGCCCTCGCATACACTGTGGCATTTTGTTTCAGATCTGGACTTGCTGTTGTGAGGCTTCAGCTGGCAACGACATACTGAGCAGCTCTCCCATGCTTTCATTTCAAAAACCAGTCATACCGGCAGCTTCGTTGCCTGAAAGGGTGGTGGGTGGATGTGCGGTGCTTTGCATTGCTGGTGGCATGTCATTGCCATATACTTGTCCATCTTCCTGCTCGTCCTGGTGTGTGGGGATGGACATAAGTGGTAGCCGTTGTTTCTATAAATGTTAGCCAGACGAGAAGGTGCCAACACTGTGAAGTGTTGTTTCTCCATCCCCTGCTAATGGATCTCCGCACAAGTTCTGCAACCTTCAATGCCACACCCTAAATGAAATTGAGTATAAGACTATTGTGCCCATTTGTCTCCACCTGCATGTACATGTGGACGTGGGGTCGGATGCAGGTGAGGATGGGAGGGTTGAGGAGGTGGACAAAAAGCACATTCCGCCATTCGCATTGCCATCCAGGCACAGCCCTCCGCTGCATTTGGCATGTTGTGTGCGATTCTGGTACTGTCTCATTTGTGGCTCATGTGCAGCTCTGCTGCGTACTGTGGGTATTTGTGTGGGCTGCTGTCTGCACTGGAATGGTGCTGAGCAGATATGCACACAGGAAATGTCCAGCGAATTGCCAGCCCAATGTCTCCTGAGGTGGGAATGATCCCAGTGTACAGAATGGTGTTCAGTGTGCAATGCATCTTTGGCTGTAAGTCGAAAAGTGTGCTTTGCTGTGCAGCCAGGAGCATATTAGTTGATACTGGTGGAGCACAGTGGTCACACAAATCACAGATCACAGTCAAACATATATCACAGATCACTCTCAGCCATGAGAGCTTGACAACACATGCCACACGAAAACTGCATTTGACATTACATGAAAGTGGGGTTTTGTCCATCATTCTCAGGAGTGCAGCTGCAAAATGCTCCTGTACAGCAGTCCTGTGCACTTTGGTGCCCACCTGTCATTCTGAAGTCTGAAAGTTGTGCACGGGGCTGCAGGGGCCTCCGAGGTATGGTCAGAGGACCTCCAGCGGAAGTCTTGTTCCCGCTGCTTCTGAGGTGGGAAAGCTGTCAGTGTGGGCCACGCTCCTGAGTGTGCCTTGCATGCGCAGATGATTATTCATGAAAGTGTGCTCAACTGCATTTGCCCAAATTGACGAACGACTGCTGCTGGACTCTTCAAAGCAACAATGACTACGTAAGGCATTACCTGCAGTTGTGCCTTGTTCGTTAAGAGCTATCAGACTACCTCTTCTGTTTTTTATCTTGAACATGTCATTATGCTGCTGCATGATGTTGATCATGGGTGGACTTGAGGAATTGCTGAACACTCTCCCCAGTGCCATGGTAGCTGCTGTGTAGTGTGTAGCAGTGCATTGCTGGCAATGTGCTTTTGTGCTTTTGTGCCTTGCTGAATTCTAAAAGTTCTGAACCTGCCTGCAGGAACCTGTGAGGTACAATCAGCAGATGCTGCAGTTTCTCAAGCAGCAGATGGATACATTCAACACCATCTTTACATTGCCGAAATTCTACTCCGCCCTAAAAGCGTCCCCGGAGGGTTGGGGCGAGTCCATGGAAAAGACAATGGACGCTATGAAGCTGGGCTGGATGCTCATCGACCGCCACAAAAAACAATTCAAACTTGACACATTCTATAAGATTTATGAAGCAAAAACTGCAGTGGAAAAGATCTGCAGCACGCTCAAGGAGTTCCTGGATGCTTGGGAGTTCCATGATGTAAAGATTGACAAGTCGGTGCCTCAGGATGCCATCAAGGCGGACAAAGACGAGCTTCGAGAGTACCTGGCATTCGTTCTGAGGGATGGCAGCTGCGCCTTTCAGGGGCTCCCTGAGCACGTGAAGAAGGAATGGGAGCTTGTTAAGGTGTCGACCAGTGCGATGCTGGGTATGGTGAAAGTCCCAGCCACCGACGAGGAAATCGTGCTGGGGCGGCACATTTCTGGTGCTGTGTACGAGGGCGAGTGGGATGGCACGCCGGTGGCAGTGAAGAAGATGCTCAAGGACAATGATCCGTCCAAGTTGGACCTGGAGGACTTTGCCCAGTTCTTCATGGAAGCTGTGGCATTGGCAAAGCTCAAGTCGCCCCACATCGTCACGTTCCTCGCTGCCACCGAGTCTGGCAGGCTGGTGATGGAGCTTGGGAAGGAGCAGCTCCTCAAGTGGTGTGAGGCCCGGCAGAAGGACTCGCTTGTCGGCTTGGCCCCGGAGGGTCTCCCGCTGAGACTGGGGCTCCTGCTGCAGGCCGCAAAAGCCTTGAAGGAAGTGCACAAACAGAAGTTCGTCCACAGGGACGTCAGCACCGGAAAATTCGTGGTGTTCGAGAACGAGGGCACCCCAAAGGTCAAGATCGTCGGCTTTGGCCTGGCGATCGTGCGGACGGAGACGGGGTCCCAGACACTGAGGAGGCACATAGACGAGACGCCCGCCTGGGTGGCGCCCGAGATATTTGACGGCAGGCAGTACAGCTTCGCGTCGGATATTTATAGCTTCGGCGTCGTGATGTACCATGTGGTGACGGGGGTGTACCCGTACGGCAGGAGGACCCCGGTGGGGGACCTGATGAAGAAGAAGGCGGCCGGAAACAAGCCCTGCACGCTGAACCCAAACCTGGGAGCGCCAGCCGGGCTGGAGGAGGTCATGTTGAAGTGCACGGAGACGGACCCGGGGGCCCGGTATAGCAGCATGAAAGAGGTCTGCAACGCCTTGGAGGCGGTGATAAAAGCGGCCGGATGGAGTGTTTAGGTCAGATTGGGGGTGGAAGGTGGAATAGAGGTTAGTCCAGGTTTTGGCGGTTGAAACGCCTCCAACGAGTTCCCTGGAATGCGGGGTGTAGATGGTTGGGCGGGGGAGCTTTGAGCTTATCGAGGTGTTTTTGCAGCTGGCTGGAGCGGTCAGCATTGGTAGTACGCAGCAGTCACGGGGGATTATGGGGACGGTGCAGTCACAAAAGCTCGAGGGCGCCAAAATCCATGACGAATGGCAGAATCAGTGCTTTGGTGCACGCACACTGTGGTGATGGTACTGCGCGGCTGTCAGCGGGCAGCCCAGAGGTGCGGACAGCCGACTCGTGCACCGGAGCTGCCAGGCAGCCCAATCCGCTCATGGCGCCACATGGCTCGAAGCCAATTTTCACACCTAGATGCATTACAATGGGCGATGTGGGGCAAGAAAATGGGACGACAAGGCGCCGCTTCACCCACGAGCTGCACCACGGTTGACACAGCTCTTAATCCCACTTACCCTTCCAAATTAACAAAGTAGAGCGAGTGGCTACAGACAGAGCACCCCCTTCTCTGTTGTGTGCTGCTCGAGGGGTATCGAATCCCACCGAAAAGGTCGCTAACGCGGGCCCTTTTGGATGACCACATGAGGTCAGGCGAAGTCTCGCCGCGTCATAGGGTCAGGTAGTGTAAGGTTTAGGCGAAATTTGCAGGAGCTGGGTTGATAGGGCGCCTGCCGTGCCAAGGTGCCAAAGAGCTCAATGGCAGCACTGAGTCCGAAGGGCATTCCACCATTAAACCGGCACCTGCATTTCGCGAGTTCTAGACTCTGAAAGATAAGGGTCACTGGCAAAGCACACCACTGAAAAGCAGGCATCAAACGGGATGTAACATGAGCAACACAGGGCACAGGGCAATGCGGGTCACAACAACACAGAAACGATTCATTTGGCAGCAGAAGCCCACAGCAGCGGGTTAACTGCGTGGATGGACACCATCAGGCTATGGACCGCACTTGGTCGATCGTTGTGTGCCAAGCCTCAAACTGTAGCGGCGGCGCCCCCTGATGTTAAGAAATCAGAGAATGCACTTATCACGTGGTAAGCCAATTGCCATAAAACAGACATCTGCTGAGAAGATCCCCAGACCGCCACTGATTGGCAGAAACCCAGCCATGGTCTGTTTGGAGGCGCTCAGCCGGTCAAAATCGAGCCAGTGCGGTCCCCAAGTGCAACCCGCAAACAGCCACCTGAAGAATGCAAATTGGGGCATGGCGGCTCCAATCACGAATGTGGCCTTTTCCCTGGAAGTCGCTCCCCCTCCTATCGCAGGTGGTGGTCCTTGGCTGGTGGCGGTTGACGGGAAACGTAGCGGCGCCCAGGGGGCGCGTTCCTTGAGGCACTTCACCTCTCCCCCGAGGCCCACTCCCGGGGCGGGCGACCGACCCGCTGCGATCCCTCCGCGTTGATCCAGGTGGGCGCCGAACTTCCCCGGCCAGGGAAGCAGTGGTCCCGGACGTCCGCGATACCTGGGGTCTTTGCGCTCGCCGCGATGTTTCGAGGCCACGCGCGTTCACCAACTTGGGGTTTTAAAGCCCCTGGTCACGGCGCGGGTTGGATCTGTCCCTGATTGATTTGCGACTTTCTCCGTGGCGTCGACGAAATTTCAGTTAGTCGCCACCGCTTCCCGTTATTGATCTGGGAGTCTCGTTTTCCGGTATTCACGGCAATGCTTTGCCGGGCCGTGTGAATGCAGTGCCGCCGTGTGCAGTGGCGCCGTGTTTGTCGTCGGCGTTGGCCGGAATGGTACTCAAGGGATTGAGCTACCCGCTTCCGTGCCCACTGGCCAGGTGGTTTGGCAGTGCGGCGGGCCATCCGATCGGAGGTACCCGAATCGATACCCGTTTCAGTCATCCTCTTCACCATCCGCACTGAAACTGTCGGTTGACCATCTCGCGGCTGACGTCAGCTGGCTTGCGGGTCGTGATCGCGGTGCTGCCCCTTGGCGTGCTCGCCCCGGGGGCGAAAGCGCGGTCGACAGGTCTGCTGTGTTGACGATCCGTGGCCGAAAGCTAGGTGGGCACTGTCCGGTGGTTGACCCCAATCTTCCAGAAGGACGGGGACGGCAAGGCCGCCAGATGGGCCCCATCAGTGATCGCGCGTGGGCTACAGCCGTGCAGATTGCCCCACAGCCCTGGTCTTCCATTGATGTAGTCCTGTAGCAGACGGATGGGAGTGGAGCAGTCCCCGTGGGGGAAAATCCACGAGGAACAACAATAGGGAGTGCGGGTTCACGGGGGAACATCACGTAGACATTCCAATCCTTCACAGCTGATTGTAGGTCTTGTGGATATACCAACGGCTGTTGAAGATTGATTTCATCGCAGCAGGTGAGAAAGCGAGCGCTCATGAGCCTAGATCAAGCTGGTTGCAGTCTGGTTTAAGGAAGTGCTCCAGAGCAGCTTTGGGTAATTGTTAGTGTTTGGTTGGAAAGTGCAACTGACAGTATGCATCGGTACAACGTGTTGGAAGTTCCAGCCAGACAGATGTGAACCCAGTTGGCTTCAGTGCTGTTCCTAGCATGGTCACAAGCTTTGTGCGTTTGTGCTTGAGCAGGAAATGGAAGTGATACTCGAAATCGTGAAGGTCTGTGTGGACTTGGCAATCAAAATAGAAGAAAGCATAACTACAGCTGAACACAACTCTGAAGCCAAGAAGACCCTAGCAGAGCGCACTGAGGTCATCAAGACTGTGCTGGGAGAGATCAGGAAACAGCATGAGAAGTGGCAAGCAGCACAGACATCAGTGCTGTCAGGGGAAATCCAAGAGCAGCAAGCAACGGTGCCAACAGAGCCACAGGGAGATATCAATGAGCAGCAAGGAGCAACGATGGCCTGCGGACTGGAGCAAGCACTGAAGTGCGTGCAGGGGCAACTGGAGAGGGCAGCGGACATGTTTGAGAAGATGGATAACGATGGTAGACTAAAGAAATTCTGGGTAGCCAAGGGCAGATGCAGTGAACTGACCGACCTGGACAAATCCCTTCATGGTGCTGTTGGAGGTGAGGCATATGGAATGGGCATTGGTCGGTTGTGAGCAGGATTTTGATGGGAATGCAGATCTGCTGCACATAATGTGAACGCAATCTTTGGATTGCGGTGGACAAAGTAAATAACTGAACACTTGTCCAATCACAGGCATGAAGAGCAGTATTGCTTGAAACCAGCACTTGGTTCCAATTTGCTTGATCGGACCCAGCACTGCCCAGTTACTCAAGTGAGGCATGTCCCTCCTAAGTGTTATGACTGACCCCTGGTAGCACCCATTTCTGCCAGGCTCATACAAGCTTGACAAACATCAGTTCCGGGCACATAGGGTGGTGAAGCTTTAGCCTGCCTGTGCAAATCACATTTGCTAGATCGGTGGCGCATTTATGCAGTGAAATTCTTTTGATTCTCCTCATGCTGCCAACGGAAGGCAGTGAGCTGGGCAGCACACCTGCTTTGGCCCTGAGGTGGGTACTGGTTCCCTCTCGAGGTGCACGGGTAGTGCCTTACCCGGCAAAGCTGCCAAAGCTATATGTTTATTGACCTTGTGCGTGTGTGTGTCGTCTAGTTCTGCAGATGGCTCACACGGCCCTATTGGGTGACACTGTGAACCAGACACACCAGCGGGTGGAAGATGTTGCAACGATCATGAAGGAGTTGTCCCTGGATCAGAAAAATCTGTCTGAGGAAGTGAGGCAGGTACTGCGTCAAGCATTTGCAGAGAAGCTGGTAGGCTCAGAATGCAGCGAGGACCAAGAGCAACCCCCCAATGAGGTGCGTCACCACAAAGATCAGAGCTTGCATTACAGCCAGGCCTCTGAAGAGGGTGGCACTGCAGCATTCAAGAGCACTTCTCCTGTGAGTAGCACACTGTGGCCCACAGTGGCATACATTGGCAGTCTTCTTTTAGTATTGGATTCTCTTCTTGGGTTTGAACTTCCAGGAATTTTCTCGAAAGATGCAATGCTTGATATGACAATACAGAAGAATTTCAAGTATTCCTGCATGAAGAACAGGTTGTGGTGCTCTGAAGTGGATGTAGCAGGTCACTGTCTCATGCCCTCCATCATTTCCTTGCCATATCTGGTGCATGAGCACAAGAATGGGCATGTGTGCGGATGTTGTTACTGTTGTTAGTCAGAGTGAACAGGGTATTCATATTACAAAGCATTACATCTCACCCACACCCTTCCCTCTGGTGATAGATTTTCAAATAGTTCTGAAACCTGACATGTCATACTCTGAATGGGATGAGATATGCCCATCTGGATTCTGGTGTTAGGGCTGTGGTTGTTGTTCATTAAGAGCATCTTTATCGGTGGGCGCTATTGTCCCGGCGGAGCTATTTGGCTATCCGAATAGCACCGCACGTCAGAAAACCATCATTAACGGTTGGGGAGCAATAGCACCCCAATAGCACCCCCGCAGCTATTCGGCACTGAGCGGCGCTATTTCGGCCCCGAATAGCACCGCTTGGAGCCGAACAGCACCCCAGAATAGCTCCGGTGCTATTCGCTCAGAACATTGTAGTGCTGCCGTGATGCTACTTGGCGTAGGCATAGCACCCGCCATTGCAGATGCGCGCAGGGAAGCAATAGCACCGGTGCTATTCGGCAAATGGCGCCTTAGTAAGGTGGCACAGCAGCCAATGAGCACCGTTCCTGTATAGCTCCGCCGGTGCAATAGCACCGACCGATAAAGATGCTCTAAGAGTGTATTGACATGTCCATGCCCCTGATGTTGTCATGGTCCTGGCCAATGCAAAGACAGCCCACAATGTCCATGTCCAGGGGTCAATGCCCATCACGGACCAATATCTCTCACAAGGGAAGTTGGCAAACAAAAAGCAAGCATGAAAGAACATGTATCAGACGTGAGGAGTGGGGCCTGATGAAGAATGTGATGGAAAAAATTTCGAACAGCATGTTTTTGCTGGCTGCCTTATCAACCAGGCACTGGAGTTCACCTTGCCATTTGGACGCTGCTTGCACATCCTCCCAGCCATCCTCCCACAGCTTGGATTTGATGTCCTCCAGAAGTGGTATATGCCCTCTTGTGGAGTTGCTTTTCTGTCTTTTGTTTGGCTCATTCCATTACGATTCTTCTTTCATTTCAGCAGAGTTGTTTCCACTTGATGGGCATGTTTCATATTGCATGTGGTAAAAGTTGCTTAGAGTACCCGTGCACGTGCGCAGGCAACATCTACCCCAAGTGCCAAACCCTTGGCCCCTGAGGTGAGATTGCAGTCGAAAGGGATCATGGGCTTCAGCTCGCTGCGCATCTATTCATCAGTTTATTGAATAGCTTCATGTATTTACCTGTGTTCTTTCCATTTCTCCTGTTCATTTGCCAAATGATTCATGCAAGTGTATTTGAATGCATTTGCAAAGCTATGCTGTTGCACCCACAAAGTGATGACAGCTGCTTCTGTCCTGAGCACATCATGCTCAAACATGGTAATTTGACTATTTTCTCTAGCGATATTGTTCCTATTTAGCATTGCCAACTCTAGCTGCTGTGACAGCTGCTCATGATAGAATCTGAAAGTTTTAACCTGCATGCAGGAGTGCGTGAGGTACAATCGGGAAATGCTGCAGTTCCTCAGGCAGCAAATGGAGGCATTCACGTCCATATTTTCAACACAAGAGTTCTATGCAGCTGCCCAAGCCATGCCAGATGGGTGGGCAAACTCCATGCAAAACACATATGGTGCACTGAAACTTGGTTGGATGCTCATTGATCGCCACAAGAAGCCCTTCAATCTCAGCACGTTTTACAAAAACTGCGAGGCGCAAGACGCAGTCAACATGATCTGTGGCACAATAAAGAAGTTTTTTGATAAGTGGGGTTTCAGCAGTGCCAGTATTGAGGAGACAGTGCCACAGGATGCAGCCAAGGCAGACAAGGAGCAGCTTCAAGCATACCTGGAATACGTTCTGAAGGATGGAAGCTGCTCGTTTGATGGGCTTCCTGAATCCGTGAAAAAAGAGTGGGAGGATGCCAAGGTGACGACAGGTCTACTGCTGGATATGGTGAAAGTCCCAAACACCGATGAGGACATAAAAGAGATCAGGCACATCGCTGGCTCAGTGTACGAAGGCAGGTGGGATGGGTCACCAGTGGCAGTGAAAAAACTGCTCAAGGACAACGATCCATCCAAATTGGAGCTGGAGGATTTTGCTCAGTTTTTCACGGAGGCCGTGGCATTGGCGAGGCTGAAATCTCCCCACATCGTCACGTTCCACGCCGCCACAGAGTCTGGCAGGCTGGTGATGGAGCTCGGGAAGGAGCAGCTCCTCAAGTGGTGCGAGGCCCGGCAGAAGGACTCCGTTGCAGGCCTGCCCCATGAAGGTCTGCCGCTGAGGCTCAGGCTCCTGCTTCAGGCCGCTCAAGCGCTGAGGGACGTCCACGCGCAGCGGTTCATCCACCGGGACATCAGCACCGGAAAATTCGTGGTGTTCGAGAACGAGGGCACCCCAAAGGTCAAGATCGTCGGCTTTGGCCTGGCGATCGTACGGACGGAGACGGGGTCCCAGACCCTGAGGCGGCATATAGATGAGACGCCCGCCTGGGTGGCGCCCGAGATCTTCGACGGCAAGCAGTACAGATTCGCGTCGGATATTTACAGCTTCGGCGTCGTGATGTACCATGTAGTCACGGGGGTGTACCCGTACGGCAGGAGGACCGCCGTGGGAGAGCTGATGAAGAGGAAGGCGGCCGGACACAAGCCGTGTGCGGTGAACCAGAATGTGCAGGCGCTCAGCGGGCTGGAGGAGATCATGGTGAGGTGCACGGAGACGGACCCAGGGGCCCGGTACGGGAGCATGGAGGATGTCTGCAACGATTTGGAAGCCGTGATCTCAAAGGCTGGATGGAGCGGTTAATCAAGCGATTGAGTTTTGGATGGCGGGATTCAAGTTTCCACGCTTGGTAATCTTCCATGGATTCTGTTGGAGTGGTGGATGTAGCTGGTTAGCCAGTTTGGCTGTCGAAGTGTGCCAACAGCCGCCTGGAGTGGTTTGGGCGGGGTTTGTAAACAGCGGCAAGCATTTAGGGCCTTCTCTGCTCAGTTCTTGGTGGATTGTCAACTGCTCCCAGCTCCAGAAAATTTTCTAAGCCAACTGCATGGGGGAATGAACAACGGGACACATGGACTGGCATCGAAATGGAACCTCATAGACCCCAAGATCACCCAAAGCTTCCGGATCAAAACTTATCGCCCATCCCCTTCGCTGCATGTCCACCTTGCAATGGCGTGCCGATCCAGATCACTCGGTCAAAACTGTGCAATTCTTACTGTGCACTTCAATGGCGTTTCCAATGGTCAGTCCCCTCCATGAACAGAACGCCCCTCGGCCGATGGTGTGTTCTCCTCCTGGCAGAAATTAGCACGCGTCATGCATGACGTGCATTCCCCAGCTTCTGCACCAGTTGATTTACAGCACTAGCGCTATTGCTTATGTGCAACTAGCTAGACGAAACCGATCCTTCATCAACAACGCACTCAAGGCTAGCCTGCCCCAGAGCTGGCGCCGTTGTTTCTGTCTCTGCTGTCAGAAGTACGTAACCCATCTGGGCTACATACACGCATGTGCATGGGGCATGCGCGGGGCGGTCGCCACTTGCCACCAGCAATGGTGAGATGGCGCGGTTTCTCGCTGTCCTGAAGTGCATTGGACATTGTTCGTTGCTACGCGCTGGGGCCCTTAACTCGACTCCGGACGGGGCTCAAGCCACCGCTGCAACTTGGATGCTTCTCAGCACTTTGAAGTGTATTCAGTCTCACCAAATTGGTGGCACCAACGAACAAGGCTTTAGTCGGCACAGCCACCAAGGACGGCGAGGCAATGTTTGCCAAACCGAGACGATGCAGGGCTCAAAACTGCGCGCAGACCAACATGCTATCCAACATGATGCACAACCGTGCTCCGCCGATCATGCATATGCATCGCGTGTCCTCAGATTAGAGGTACAAGTCAAGCATCGCAGCGCGTGGCCAAATGCAGTTGGTAATTGCATTGGTTGCATTCTGGACAAGGCCTTGCACTTCGCTGGCAACGACTGGCCCAGCGAATTTATTCTTGGACACAGTCCAAATATCATTGTTCCGGACAGCAATTTGTTCTAAAGGTTTTGGAACAACGAGTGTGGCGCTTCTAATCTTTAACATAACTTAAATGACATGGCTAAGAATGTAAGATTTTGTATTGTGCAAAGCGGACTGGAACGCTTTAAAGGCGCATGTTTTGAGCTACATATAATTGTGCTCTGATCCACATGCATTAGAATGACCTTTAGCACTGATGAACCAAATATGCTGCACAGGACTTGACTTTCTATGAAACCAACAGGACTGCAGGAACATCAGCTTGGCGCAACCATTGGCTCCGGGTACGACAGTGGCGCCCTTCATAGGGCAGCGTGCATCGAGTGTCTCATTCGCAAATACGGTGCTGGAAGCCATTTTTAACACATTGCACATTGATGCACACGCTTTTGGCACGGTCCATGGGCGCACTGCAATTGCATAAAAGGGCAATTTTCTGTGCATTAACCAGACGACAAAATTATGCAGAAAATTTTAACTAACACAACATTCAACTGCAGTTGCCTTCTCGGCGACTTCTGCCATCTATTGAAGTGTGTTGAGCTTGGTGAGCCCCTCTGACACATTCTCGATGAGCTCGCTCCTGTCCCTCAGATCGCCCCTCAGATTGGCATCGAGCAGTTGCGCTGCCTTGGATTGACGCTCTTGATGGCCATCACTTTCTACGCCACACGCAAATCTGCACACGCGGAGGCAAGGAGTGAAGCGTCAATCACCCCTTCAACTGTGCCCATACGGTCCATGCTCACAGCGACATAGCGCCATTTGCCTCAGCAAACGTACCCTTGAAGTAAGTCTCAACAGTTGCCCACCTGGATGCTGGTCACACAATGTGCCAATATTGCAATGTGATCAACTATTAGCAAATGGGCTTTTCCTTTTGGAGATGCAGGTTGACACGTGGGATTCGTGAGGCACTCTGGACAGAACCAGCAGCTGCTTCTATTACTGGCTGTCCCGTCACTTTGCGGCTTGGTCTCTCTGGCCCTCAGGCTGCACTTGAATGTAGCCCAAGGGATTTTGGATTCTTGGCAAGAGTTTCAAAGGGAGCCAGGATGTGCGTTCCCATGAGCCCTTAACGGGCTTTGCTCGGTCGGCGGGCAGGCTTGTGTTTAAGAGGTGCGGAGCGACAGCCAGGTACCATGTTTTGCTCTAGTCAGCCCACCCCTGGCAGTGTGACTTACCGTATTTACCCGGTATTACTAGGCATGTACTGGACCCCCAAAATGAGCTGTGGATACTAATAGCGGGTCATGTATACTAAATCGGTTTGGACCCCTGTTTCCAAGGAGTAGACAAGGAAAATTTTTGACAAATACGCCGTGAAATGCCCAAAAATGGGCAAAAATGTCGATGCTAGTGCGGAATGTTGTCAGCCTCTGGACAGGACCTGGCGCCCTTAACTTGGGCCTACACCAGGTGGCGGCGGCTGGCGATGGGGGCCGTCATGGGTTCGCTGGAATGCTCGAGGCGCATTTGCCTATGCAATGCAAAGAACAAGGCCTGACATGGGTCTCGACTCGCTGGGGCACCACGTCGCGACGATGCTTGACACGCAGCGTTTTCCCTCGCTGATGGCGGCTGGGAAGGCTGACGGGATCTGTGATTGGGTCTGTGGTTTGGTAGACGGTGAGATGTGCTTTGCCCCATCTTCGCAGCGCTTTATGGCCTGTTTTGCAAGGCGGGTCTCGCAACAGCAGCTGCCCCTACCAATGCCGTCGCCTGCCCATTCCTGGCGCTGGGCCTTGGGGGGCCCCGTGGCAGGCGCCAGGCCGGAATCTGCTCTGGCCGGCCGGGGAGCAGGTTGGTTCAATCCAGAAACCAGGGCGGCTTTGATTTCTCGATCGCTTCTGTCATCGGGCCTTGCAGCGTCAGTCGCTGTCTTGCGATCCCGCGCTGAGAACGCCAACGGCGGCCAGTCGACCATGCGGCCTTTCGTGGGCACCCTTCCAAATTCTCCCTCGACAACATCCACCCTGACCCGATCGATGTGCGAATCGCAGGGAACGCGATTTGGTCCACACTGGGCAACGAGGCCCAACACCAGCCCCCGACTTCCCTTGCCACCATCGGCGCCTTCTGTCGTTTCTGCTCTGTTGAGGTTTGGGGGTGGATACTAACACCGGGCCATGTATACTAACGTGGGTTCAACCCCCAAAGAAGTGGGTGGATACTAATAGGGGTGCCTACTAATACAGGGTCAATACGGTAGAATTCAGGGACTACGTCAAGTTTAGGTAATGGGGCTCAATACTTTGTTTCGAACCGCGAGGCCAAGGTCAATTTGCCGTTGCAACGCCAACTGGCGGTCATGGCCATGGACTACTGTACGGCTCATACGCAGAAGAACCGTCTCCGTCACCGCTCCGTCATGCCTCCGCATTCACGGTCTGTCACCGGAACACTGAGGAGGTTTCCCGGGAAAGAGCGCGGGCCGGTAATCTCTCAAAAGGGTGCAGGCCAAATTCAGGGGGGCAGTTGTGTGGCCCAGACTCGATGTTGCGAAATTTCGCAGTTCTGAATCTGAAAGCGCGGAGCGCCTTTCAGACAAGGTCGCTCGCGGAGTTGCAAGCCACATTCGCGGCGCGTGTTCGAGCAGGTCAACACTCGTGCTGGGTCCCTGGACGCTGCCTGGGCGGGCCCCCGGAAGTTGCCGCTCGTTCCTTAAGGTTCCGACGGCTGTGTCCACGGCAGGTCGTCTTCTTCGTGAAGACAGGGCATCGGCACAGGTGAAAGCGCTGGCGCTGTGCATTGGGGGCGCACGGACCTGCCTAGTGGGTGCGCTTCTGTGGGGCGACGAGGAAGTGGTGGCGTTGGGTGTTGTGAATTGTCCACGCGCATGAAACAAGCGTTGCCCTAGCTTCACGATTCTTTTCGTGAAGGGAATCGCTGCGCTGGCCCCAGCCCCGGTGCACCTCGAATTGTGGATTATGACTTTGGGAGGCTCGCGGCAAATACTGCCCGTCAGCATCCCCTGGCCGTGGCGGCGCGGGTCCGTGAAATGCGATCTGGTCGGAAAGAGGGATTTGCCTCCGCAGTCGCTACCTGCTGACTGACACGTGGCCCACCTCCGACAGGAAAGCTCGACCTCCGCCCTTCGTGGAACGAGCAGGCTGTTGATATTGTGGCATGGCGAGATGAGATGAAGCTCCGCCGCCGGTTTTGTGCGTGTTTGCTTCTTGTGCAGAAAAGCACCTTCCCAACACTGGTCGCTCTTTTGCCCCGTTGGGGGAAGGCGGCTGAAGTAGGGCCTGGCCATCGCGCGGCAACCTGAATTTGGCGCAGACTGCGATGGAGGACGAAGAGCGGCCCGCGGGTGGTCAAGCGCGCGAGGTACAGTGACTGCCTTTGTTGTCAAATACCGGAGGCAGGTTTTTGTCAACACGTGCTCTGGCAACAGGCGTTGGTGATTGTTTTATTCTGAAGGTTGCAAGCCTGTTGGACATGGTTTTTGTTAGAACGACGGTTGTGCAGACTCCCTTCACCCCCCTGTCTCCAATCAGAAACCCCAACAGGTGAAGTACGGGGAACACGGCTGCATTCAGGTGTACTGCCTGGCACCCAGACAGTTGTTCCTCTTGTAGCTGTGGGCAGATCATTTGTCTTGCTGTGGAGAGTTGTGTCAGTTTTCGATGCTGCTCAAGTCCATGGCTGGCACATTATGTGCTGATATCTGACCTTTAGTATCTGGCATACGTTTTAGACAACACGATCGGTGTCTCATTGCTAACGTACAACGTCGATCTCCGTCCGTATTGGCACTCACTGCTACTCGTTGGTGCTGGGACAGCGATGATAAAAGTGAATGTGTTAAACATGCAGTTGTAATTCCTTGATGCAGTTAAAACCTATGGTAACGTGGTTAAAGCATATGAGCAATACCTGTGTAGGATTTTGCCATGTGCTTGCTGAGGACATGGCTTTATGTTTAGACTGCCTGCAGCCATGGTAAAAGACAAGACACCATTGCCAAGCCACAGGCTGGATGGCGTCAAACATAGAAGGCCACAAATCTTAGCAGATCCAATGATTAGATTGCGATGAACAGATTCTGTCCCCTGTACATGACGGAAATTCTTCTTCACTCCTGCTCTTTCCTTCTGTGCCTCCAATTGCTACAGACAGAGAGCGCTGTGCAGGGACTGCAGTACAATCACAGAATGATGGACTTCCTCAAAGTCCAATTGGACAGGGTAAAAGGGCTGCAGAAACCGCCATGTGCACAGCTGGATGAGTGGGAATCCTTCAAACAGGCTGCCGAAAGAGGACACAGGCTCTGGCACAAGCATGCACGTCCCTTTGACATTAGGAAATTCTACAGGATTAATTTTGCCCAAAGAGCTGTTGATGAGATCTGTGAACATCTAAAAGCAAAAACACAAGAATGGCAGGTGGATGGTGGCATAGAGCACTGTGTGCCCAAGGAGTACGTGGAAGAAGACAGAAAATACTTGCACAAACTTCTTGCCTACATCCTGAAAGGCGAGGAAAGCGGTGTCGATGATGAGGTGCTCTGTCAATGGCTTTCAATCAAACGCAGACATGAAGAGGAAGTGAGATCCCTGCCAATCATCAGGGAAGACGCACTTGTGCTGAAAGAACAATTGGGAGTTGGTGGGTATGGCCTTGTGTGCATTGCAGAATGGAACTCCACAGTGGTGGCTGTGAAGAAACCACTCAGAGAAGGTGACTTGCCCATTGAGGAATTCGCAAGCTTTGTCAAGGAGGTCATGGTGCATGCCAAGTTGCACCATCCCAACATCGCCCAAGTGTATGCAACCACACCTTCCGGCTGGTTGGTGATGGAAGCGGCAGACACCAATCTGGGGAGCTTGTATCGTGGCAAGAAGAGATTTGACTGGCGCTGCACAGTAAACCTTCTCCTGCAAGCTGCAAAAGGGCTGTGCCACCTGCACTCCCTTGATCCCAAGGTAGTTCATTCAGATGTGAAGACATCGAATTTCCTCGTATTCGGGAAAGAACCTGGCAGCTATACAGTGAAAGTCACAGATTTTGGGCTCGCTTTCGAAGCAAGCAGCAGCAGAAGCAAGAGTGAGAGACTGGGGGGAGGAACCTTGGAGTGGATGGCTCCAGAATTGTTCTGTGGAGAACCTGCATCTGCATCGTCTGACGTCTACAGCTTCGGCGTCGTCATGTATGCACTGGTGACAGGGGCACATCCCTATGGAGCAGACAAGCTAAGAAGGCATCGCCATGCAGAAGCTATTTTGATGTGCAAGAAGTTGCACGAAAAGGCGGAACCATGTGAACTAGGACCAGATAATTGCCCTGGGGACATGCAGACATTCATGCAGAGGTGTTGTGCCATCGATCCAGCTGAGCGACCAACTATGGAGGACATCTGCAAGTTTTTGGAGGAACTGCCCGCAGATTGGAACCGCAGTTCTCAGATTCAGACAGGGCTTTTGGTTTCTGGTGCCAATGAAACAAACCAGAGGGTGGCAGAAAAGGTATGTGGCATTGATTGGAACCTGCTGAATTGTGAGTTTGCTATCTGGTGGCCAAAATGATTCCACAGAGGGGATGTGTGACAGGGACAAATGGCAAGTGTCATGCCATCTTGTCTTCTCAGTCTATTCGGTGAGAAACATTCATGGATTGTTTCACTGGGTGTCACAAAATGTTTTCAAGTGCATTAGTAGTTGCATCGCTGGGGCAGTGCATCCATTTCACAGATACCTTCAACCTGTCAATTTGCCATTAATGGCCATGCATCAGAGCTGGAAGCATGTGCAGCACTGCTGCCAGATTATTCATGCTGTTAATACACATGGCCAGGTCATTGCTATTGAATCAATCCATTTGGGGGTAACTGTTGTCCATTGACAAAACAGGGACCACGGGCTTAGCAGCTGAGGTGACAAGGCGAAATTGGCAATGTTGTCCCTGAGCATGACTTGGTCTGATGCATCACTGGCAGGTGCAGTGCAAGCTACATAGTACCTCCATCTCAAAAATATTGTCACTTCCCTTATCGGGCTACCTGCTTCCTCATCCCCTGCCCAGGTGTTTTGGCAGTGTGGCGCGCCGTCCGATCGGTTGTACCCGGATCGATCCCCATTTCAGTCATTCTCTTTACCATCTGCACTTAAACTGTCGGTTGACCATCTCGCAGCTGTCATCAGTGAGCTTGTCGGCCGTGAGCATGGTGCTGCCCTTTAGCGTGCTGGCCCCCAGGTGCAAGTGTGGTCAACATATCTGCTGGGTTGACTATCTGAATCTGAAAGCTGCGTGGGCACTATCCGGTGGTTGACCCCAATCTTCCAGAAGGACGGGGCTGGCAACACCTCAAGATGGGCACCGTTGGCGATTGCGCATAGGCTACAGCCCTGTAGATTGCCCCACAGCACTGGTCTCCCAGGGATGTAGTCGTGTAGCAGACAGATGGGAGTGTAGCAATCCCTGTGGAGGAAAATCCACAAGGAACAGCAATAGGGAATGTGCAGGTTCATAGGGGAACAGCATGTAGACATACCAGTTGTTCACAACAGAGTGTTGGTGTTGTGCATATTCCAACAGCTGTTTAAGATTGATTTCATCGGAGCAGGTGAGAAAGCGAATGCCCATAAACATAGATCAGGCTGGTTGAAGTCTGGCAGAAGGAATGCTCCAGAGCAGATTTGAATAATTTTAATCGTTTGGGTGCAAAGTGCAACTGGCGGCATGCACCGGTACGATGTGTTGCAATGTGCTACAGTTGCAACCAGACAGATGTGAAACTCAGTTGGCCTCAGTTCTGCTTGTAGCATGGCCACATGCTTTGTGCATTTGTGCTTGAGCAGGAAATGGATGTGAAACTCGAAATCGTGAAGGTTTGCGAGGACTTAGCAATCAAAATGGAAGAAAGGGTAAATACAGCTGAACAGAACTCTGAAGCCAAGAAGATTCTAGCAGAGCGCATTGAGGTCATCAAGGCTGTGCTGGGAGAGATCAGGAAGCAGCATAAGAAGTGGAAAGCAGCACAGACATCAGCGTTGTCAGGGGAGATCCAAGAGCAGCAAGCAATGGTGACGACAGAGCCACCAGGAGAGATCAATGAGCAGCAAAAAGCCTGTGAACTGGAGCAAGCACTAAGGTGCGTGCAGGGGCAGCTGGAGAGGGCAACGGACATGTTTGAGAAAATGGATAACGATGGGAGACTCAAGAAGTTCTGGGTGGTGAAGGGCGGCTGCGATGAACTAAGCGACCTGGACAGATCCCTTCAAGGTGCCATTCGAGGTGAGGGATATCGATTCAGTATGGTTGGATGTGAGCAGTGATTTCGATTGGGATGAGAGTTGGATGCGGAACTGCTGCACATAATGTCAACGCAATCTTTTGATTGCGATTGACAAAGTATTTAACTGAACACTTGTCCAGTCACTAAAAGGAATGAAAAGCAGCATTAATTGAAACCAGCACATGGTTCCAAAATGTTTGTTCGGATCCAGTACTGTCCAGTTGCTCAAATGAGGAATGTCCCTGCTGAGTGTCGTGACTCACTCCTGGGCAGCACCCATTTCTGCCAGGCTCAGACAAGCTTGACTAAAATCAGTTCCAGGTGCATAGGGTGGTGAAGCTTTACCCTGCCTGTGTAAGTCGCCTTTGCTAGCTTGTGGTGGCGCATTTGTGCAGTGTGACTCTTATAGTTCTCCAAAAACTACCAGTGGGAGGCAGTGAGCTGGGCAGCACACCTGCTTTGGCCTTGAGGTGGGCGCAAGTTCCCTCTCGAGGTGCACGGCTGGTGCCTTACCCTGGATTGTGGCAAAATAATATGTTCATTGACCTCTGTGTGTGTCGTCTAGTCCTGCACAAGGCTCATACGGCATTGTTGGGTGACACTGTGAATCAGACACACCAACGGGTGCAAAATGTTGTAACGATCCTGAAGGCTTTGTCCCTGGATCAGAAGAATATGGCTGAGGAGGTGAGGCAGGCATTGCGCCAGGCGCTTGCAGAGAAGCTGGTAGGCTCAGAATGCAGTGAGGACGAAGAGCAGCCCCCCAATGAGGTGTGTCACCACAACAATCAGAGCTTTCATTACAGTCAACTCTAAAGAGGGTGGCCCTGCAGCACACAAGAGCGCTTATCCTGTGTGTATCACACTGTGGCCCACAGTGGTATGCACTGGCAGTACTCTTTAGTACTGGATTCTCTTCTTGGGCTCAAACTTGCTGGAACTTTCTCGAAAGGCACAATACTTGATATGTTAGTGCAGAAGGGTTTGAAATATTCCTGCCTGAAGAACGATTTGTGGTGCTCTGCAGTGGTGGTAGCAGGTCCCCGTCTCATGTGTTCCATCATTTTCTTGCCATATCCGGGGCACGAGCACAAGAATGGGCATATGTGGGGATGTTGCTACCACTGTTGTTAGTAAGAGTGCATGGGGTATTAACACTACAAAGCGTTACACTTCCACACCCTTCCTTCTGGTGATAGATTTCCAAATAGTTTCTGCAACCTGAAATGTCATACCCTACATGGGGGTGAGAAATGCCCATCTGGCTATCGGTATTAGGTTTGCAGTTGTTCGTTGAGAGTGTATGGACATGTCCATGCCCCTGATATTGTCTTGGTGCTGGCCAATGCGAAGACCAAGGATTTGATGTACTTCAATAGTAGTATACACTCTCTTGTGGAGTTGCTTCTGGGCTTTTTTGCATTATTCTGTTGTGGTTCTTCTTTCATTCCAGTGTGTTACTTGCATTTAATGGGCATGTTAGATGCATGTCCTGTTTCATGTTTCACGTGGTTAAAGATGCTTAGAGACCCCTGCATGTGCGCAGGTGACATCTACCCCAAGTGCCAACCCCTTATCCCCTGAGGTGAGATTGCAACCGAAAAGGACCATGGGTTTCAGCGTGCTGTCCATCTATTCATCAGTTTATTGAGTAGTTTTATGTATTTATTTGTTTTCTTTCCACATCTTCTGTTCATTTGTCGACTGCTTCATTGAAGTGTATTTGAATATGTTCGTCAAAATTGGTAAAGCTATGCTTTTGCACTAACAAAGTGATGACAGCTGCTTCTGTCATGTGCGCATCATGCTCAAACATGGTATTTTGACTGTCTTCTCTGGTGACATTGTGTCTATTTACCATTAACACCACTATGTGCTACTGTGGTAGCTGCTCATGATAAAATCTGAAAGTTCCAACCCTGCCTGCAGGAGTGCGTGAGGTACAATCGGGAAATGCTCCAGTTCCTCATGCAGCAAATGGAGGCATTCATGTCCATCTTTTCAACACAAGAATTCTATGCAGCTGCCCGGACAATGCCAGATGGGTGGGCAAACTCCGTGCAAAACACGTATGGTGCACTGGAACTTGGTTGGATGCTCATCGATCGCCACAAGAAGCCCTTCAATCTCAGCACGTTTTACAAGAACTGCGAGGCACAAGAAGCAGTCAACATGATCTGTGGCACAATAAAGAAGTTTTTGGATAAATGGGGTTTCAGTATT